CAATGATTGGTAATGAATCTATCTTATATAAAATTTTTAACTTTGAGGTCTAAACAATCAGATATTATATAATACGAATATAGTTGTGTCTAAATGTTTTTTGGAAATCATTTTTTTTTCTTCTTCCCTTTTAAATCCCATCTTCGGGAAATTGAACAAAACTAAGTTAAAAAATTTCGTAAACACGCACAGTTTAATTAAATATAAGTTATAATGTTAAGTTTTTGAAGAAGAAAAAAAAGTATGCTTTTTTGTTAACGAAGACCAGAGTTTAATAATTTTAACACATGGGTATTGGAAGGAAGAGAATATTTCTAGTTCAGTTAACCTATCTAACCAAATCTCAGAACCGACATTCACTCAGACTAGATCTTGTTTGGACCATGATTTAAAAAAATTTTTGCCTGATTCATATTGACTAAAGTTTCGAGGATTTCGCTTATAGGAATCCCCAACCTTTTTGCCAATCTATAAGCAAAATTTTTGGGCTTGTGTAACATTTTTTCTGAATTAAATATCAGGTTAGCGATTTTTAGAAAATCGACTTGAATTGAGTAACAAATACTACATAATATTATCTTGGCTAATATTTTAATCGGGCCGGGCCGTTTTTTAAATATGGCGGTCGGTTTAACAACACTAACTTGAGTCGTAATATTTTTTTGGGAATACGCCCAATGACATATAATAATACCTAGACTCACGGTCACGATGCATTCATTAAAAGTGTGCATCAATCAAAACAGCTGGGGACGCCATTTTGGTTACCCATATCGTTATTAAAAAATTTTAAACGAGAGACCAATTTATTCTTATGTCGCAAACTTTATTCAAAGAATTGCCTGATCATCGAGGAAGCAAGTTATCAATTTAATAGTAAGTTTTTTAAACATGAGAATTAGTACATGGGTTACCAAAATGGCGGGTTTAGCTGATTCGCATTTAAGCGACGCTTTAGGTTATTAATTATAATGTCATTTACGCCATAATCTCTAACATCACTATATTATTATTGAAAATAAGCAAAATATTTTTTTTTATCAAATTTGTTTTTATTTTTTCCTACCCCTAAAAAAAATAAAAAAAATAATAAAAATACGAAAATTATAATTAAAAAAGTTTATAATGTTAAAAAAATATTATATTTACTTTTTCCTGATGTTATTTATTATAGGGGCGGTGATATAAACACAAGAAAGAAAAACTTTTATATTTCAAAAATATAATAATAAAAATATAAATTTAATACAAAATATTATATAAGAATTTGAGGATAAAAAAGAAATAAATTGAAATGAAGTACATTATATATAAATTTTTGATTTTTTCCCATTTTTATATTTTTGTAATTTTTTTTAAAAAATGAAAATTGTCTATATGTCTAAAAAAAATATATAAAATATAAATGAAACTTATAAAGAAAGAACAAAAGAAGAAAGAAAATAATATTTTTATTTGATATCTGTACCGCCCAGTAAATCATTTATTTTTGTTTATGTTTATAATATATATTATATTAAAGATAAAAAATTTATATAAACCCCCCTTTTTTCGATATTATATATTTAAAAAACTTGTTTAATTTTACGCTTTCTTATGCCCAATAATTTTTATAATAATTTTATTTTTTTTCGGTAAAATTTTTGAAAAAAAAGGTTGACAAAGAAGAAAAAGAAAGAACGGGCGGTTCCCGTTTCTAAATCGCTTAAAATGAGCTAAAATATTGTGAATCTCGCTTATATCTCCTAGAAAACTTTTTAAAGTAAATTTAAAATTAACAACACTCGTATTTAAGTTGAGAATTTTAAAAAAATCGCTAAAAATGGAGGAAATATCATCCATATTCCAAGTTTGAATTCCCCCAAGTTGGGAGTAATGATAAAATTTCCACTATTTTTTTTAGTAATTTTTCTGAAAACTCGAACTTAAATACAAAGTGTTTACACTTTTTAGCATCTAATTAATATCAATTAAATGTAAAGAGAAATTTCCAATTTTTAGGCGATTTAGAACCTATCCCGAACGAAAGAAAAGGAATTGATTTAACCGATTTTAAGTTTAATATTATGTGAATCTCGTAGATTTCGCGAATTTAGATTGTTCCAAAACTCCACAAACCTTTCTTCCATTATGAGCTTAAATCTTCCAGTGTTCCGTAAAATTTTTGAATTGGCCGTTTTTCTTTACAAAACAAAAATTCAACCGTTTTAAACAACATTAAAACGAGAAATAGAAAGAAAAAAAGGTATATTAATAATATAATGATAATAATAAAAAAAAGCTTTTTAACTCTTTTTATTTTGTAATTTATAATTATATTTTTTTAAAGAAGTAGAAAATTGTAAAGAAACCGCCTTTCAAATTTTCTAGCTTATGAATATTTATTCGTATATATATAATTTTATTTATTAAGATTTTTTTTTAGCCGAAAAAAATATTTTTTAAAAAATATTTGTTTTTTTATTTTGTAAAAGAAAAATTTATTATTATAATCGCGATTTTTTTTTTGTTTTTTTTGATGATGATTGATTGGTTAGGAATCTGCATGGCCGGGCAAAGGTATTCCGATGCCGACATCGGCCAAAGGAAGGGAGAAAAGATGAAAAAAAGGGAATTAAATTTAAAAAAAAGAACAAAATAAAATGATTAATTTATTATATATACAATTGGATTGGATAATATAATTTATATAAAAGGGATTGAAACCGCTCTCGGAAAAACTTATTTATTTTTTTATTCTTATAAAATAATAGTATAGATTAAAAAAAAAATTTCAAAATGAAAGAAAACACATTATAAAATGTTTCAATTATTAAAAATTTTAAATTAAATATGTATTATATATTTTTTATATGTATGTATATAATTTCATATTTCAAAAAAAAAATAAAATAACCGACTGTAAATCATGGTATATTATATATATATGAATTTCAATTTTTAAGTTATTGTTCTTTCTTTTTTTTTGATCCTTGGTTAATAAAAGTGTTATATAATTATAATAGTTTTATAATTTGAATACATATTTTTTTTTTAAGAAAATAATTGTTGGTTTGGTTATTTATATATAAAACATTAGTTTTATTATTAAAACGGCCTTAACTCAATATTCCCGAAAAAAAAATATTACACCAGCCTGAAGATTATGATTTATAGATGATAGCACAAAGGTTCGGATATCTATTAACGAAATCTTGAGGGATTAGTTAATTATTTTTCTGCCTAAAAAATATTCGAGTTAGCCCTTTTTTAAAAATCGGCTCAAAATGAACCACGTTCCCCTTTCATCTTACTTATTTTGTTTTATGCTAGTCCCAATCCGATAAAAGATATTCTCTAACCGATCCAGAGGATTTTATTCAGGGATCCGAGACCGAGTTCTGAGCTATGATCAATTATGCGAAGTGTGCCATTTTTACCCCATAACCCAGGGTTAAATGGCCAAGCATTAGGATAAATTGGTTAAAATAAAATTGAATTGTTCTATTGAACAAAACATTGCAATTTTTGACATTCATTTAAAACAAAAATAGCACATTTTGAGTGTTCCTATTTTAGGCATATCGTATGTATTTCAATTATTTTTACCCTTTGCGGTTATTTTTAAATTTATTCCAAGTAACCGCAAACTATTAATTTTTCTTTTTTGTTCAAGAATATCTAATCGAAACATATTTTAACCATTTTACCCATAATAACTTTACCCTAAGGTGATATATTACATAAAACGTTATTGGGTGCTTTTAGTTAAGCTATAAGATTTTGATAAATTTATATAGCTATGACTTTAAGGAACACGTATGGAAATTATTTTTAATTATGAGTCTAGATATATTTCGCCAAAAACAAAACTAGAGAATAATTTTATATAATTTTTGGGTAAATAAGGGTTTTTGGTAAAATATATCAAACCTGGAAAGTTTTTTCAAAAGATGAACATAGATAATAAATTTAAATATAAAAATAAAAATAATATCCTCACTTCCAAATTTAAGGTCTTTATGCTCAAGGGGTTAAAAAGTTATTCGTGTTACCATTTTTACCCGCTCAATCATACCCCGGTCTTCCCTATTGCTTTATCGCAAACCTCAATTTACGTCCAAATCAATATCGCCAAAAAATCTTAACTAACCCTCGAGATTTATAAGAATAATCCCCAAGATTTAGCCAAAAAAAAAGGATTTTACCAATTTTGATTTAGTCATAAAGCGCTTCAAGTGTCGGTCTTGCCTGAATCATCTAGTATTTTGAGAAAATGAGGCGTTTAGTAGTGTATTAAAACTGCATTAATTATAATAGCCATAAATTATATATAGGGTATCGCCTTAAAATATTGAAAAATGTTCGGAATTTATAAAAATTCGTAAGTAGACAATACAATTTTTAACGTACAAAAAGTGCGAAAACTTTGAAATATCTCTATTTTTTGGAAATTATTAATTTTTTTTTGGTTTGCGCCATTCTTTTTAGCATCATAAAAAAATTTAGGCTCATCATTCTCCTGCAGATTCTTTTGATCCAACTTAGTATTCCAACCCTTCCAATCTCCTAACTTCTTCATTACTCTTATTCTAAAGGTTCTTTAATTATATACAACAATAATGCTAGTATGTATATACAGACATTTTGATAAGGTGATAGTTTGATAGGCCCGACATGTACAGTAGGTTTTTTCCATTTTAAATCATTAATCGAGCGCCTTTTATTAAAATTCAAAGATGTGAATTTATGGAAACGCATTCCAATATGTGTAGAAATACCCACCCTATAAATTATGTTTCCATATTTTTTTAATGTAAATTAAAAAAAATTTTAAAAGTTCAATTATATATAATTGTCTGAAATTTTATACGGTGGGTATTATTATACCTATTGGAATGCATTCCATGATAAAATCGATGATTTGAAATACAAAAAATAACAAAATTATAAAACAATGCTAAATCAAACTATCCGCCTAACTGACATTTTATAATATTAATATTTTATTGATTCTATAGAATGGCCTACCAACGGTAACAACCGCAAGAAACGACGACCTTACACCAAATACCAAACTCTGGAGCTCGAGAAAGAATTCCTCTATAACGCGTACGTTTCCAAGCAAAAACGCTGGGAATTGGCGCGAAATCTCAACCTGACGGAGAGGCAAGTCAAAATTTGGTTTCAAAACAGGCGGATGAAAAACAAGAAGTCTAGTCAAAAGAACGGCATGCTATTAGCGGGTGACGGCGGTGGCCATCATCATAACAATAGCAGCAATAATAGCTTTAACGACAATGGTCACCAAGGTATGTTAAACCACCACAATAGCGATATCAGTATTACGGATTCACTATCCAATTTATCTCATATGATTTATTAAATATTTTTAAATAAAAAAATAATTAACGCCAAAATATACTCAATTTTATATTATATTTATAATAATAAATAAATTTATTACAACTTAAAATAATTTTCTTTTAAACTTTTGTAAATTTTTTGCTTTTTTTTTTAACCTTCTCCTCTCGCTAAAACAACGAAAGCGTATAATAATTATTTTTTGTTTGTCACCCATTTAAAAAAAATGTAAATTTTTATAAAAATTCGTTGAAATTTATTGCTGGCCCAAGTAGCCATCTCCCAATTGCCAAATCAAAGATAGTAAATCAAGAATTAGATAATTTTCCCTACTTCTGACAAATAGAAAATTTTAAAAATTATAACCACCAAAAAAAACATAAACCCTTTTTATTTTATTTTTATTATAAAGAAAGGTCTTTTAAAACGCATTTTAAAGTGTTGGCTTGGCTCAAAAAAGCCTTCTATTAAGTTTCTAAGAAGATAGCAATATTCTTTATATTTTGTGCAAAAAGAATGTGATACATTAAATAATTAAAATAAAACATTATTTTTTTTTGTTGACAAATAAAAAATAAAATTTTTATTTATTATTATTAATTTTATTGATTTTTTTTAAAGTTTTAACCCGCCACCATTTTTAGCAAGATTATTCTTCAGAATTTAATTTTTTTTTAAACCTATCGTTTTTTTGTATTTTTTTTTTTTTGCAATTAGAAAAGACAATTTTTGTGTTTTTTTTTTATCGATCCTCCTTCTGTAACCCTAACACCTAAGTGTTCCATGCAATGACAATTAATACTACTCTAGATGAGGATTCATTTATTACATTGAAGTCAGCTTTAGTCATCAATGAATGTAAGTTATAGTTTACCTACATTTCTTCGAAATGCATTTTAATTGCCTTCGTTGTGTATGCACTACACTCTTTAATGTAGTTTAATGATTTAAAACAGTCTGGGTTAGTAGGTATTATATGTCATTTATTTATCATAGCTTTTATATATAAAATGGTATAAAATTAGTTGCTGAAGAAGGCTTAGGGATAGGGTACGAGGGAGACAAAACAATATAGGGTTTTTAAAAAAGGGACATTAATTTTATGATTAAATAAAATTGCTATGTGTATAATAAATATAACTATTAAAAATTTATTTATATTTTCTTTTTTTTAATTAGAATTTTCGTTACTAATATAAATATTTTTTTATTACAATATTGTACACAACCATAACGTTTGTAATAACTTATTTTATATTAAGTAACTATATTTATTAATATTAAGTATACTTTATAGATTATAATACTATATACCATTATTATCATCTACGATATTTATATACTCATTCATAATTTAAGGCAAAAAAATGTAATAATTTTATATGGTTTTTAAAAAGATAAATATTATATATTTTTCAAACCAAATAAACTTTACGGAAATATTTTTTTGAATAAAAAAATATATTGTATGAAAGAAAGAAAGAAAAAAAGAAAGAAATTTACATTAAATTGTAACCCTAAAGGAGTTTCCATCAAGCTCCTGAGACTCTAAACTTATAGATTGTCTAATTTTTTTTTTAAAAAATGTATAGAAAAATTACCACATTTATGAGGTAATATTTTTCTTTTCAATTCTAAAATGCCAAATTAAATCATCGACAAACAAAAATGAAGGCAAAATTTTCACTCAAAACCCTATTACAAATTTATAATACTTTGACGGTTTTTTACCGGGGGATGATTGCGCCATATTTAGGATGAATAGAAGAGGTGTGGTTAAGAAAAAAATACTAAATAATGAAAGAAAGAAAAGAAGATGAAAAATCAGTAATAACCCCCATTATATAAACCAAATTCAAATTGGTGTGACAAGTATAAAAAGTAGCAAGGTCGGTCGGGTGTAATTTCCTAGAGTTTATTATATATATTTTTTGTCTGTCTGCTAGCAGCCATATGACTGCCCCTACTCTTATCACTTCAATAGTTCACTCTAGAAAACCCTAGTATGTGCAGGAGTTGATTTATGTGATGTGGATAAGCATTAGGACTATTGGGGAGGGATGATTAGCTTTAAGCAACATTCTTATTCTTACTGCCCCTCTAAGCGTAAAGTTATTATTAGGGTCCAGCTTAGATTTATTTTCATTAAAAAAAGACAAAATGACAAATGGTTAAGACTATTACTTTTTTTTGTGTTTTTACTAAATCTATATGCTCACTTATAAGATTAATCAGCCCATTCTATTTATTGTATTTTGTTTTTATATTTAAATAATTATTTGATTATAAGAGCTAAAGGGTGAGTTTATTTTTATTTTTTAATATTATTCGCGATTAGAAATTAACTTGAAAAAAAAGAAGGTATATTCGAAATAATTTAAATTCTAAATTAAGCCTATATCGCCATTAGCTGTAATACCTATATTATATTATTTTAAATTCGATGTAAAACACGGTTATGAAATTACTTAATACTATAGTTGGGTAATAACTATATTTTTTAGCCGTTTCAGTCAATTTTCAGTCGGCTAAACCTAGTTTATAGACGAAAATTGACACTTTGATCTCGGGGGTTTTCCTTAAAAAGATAGCATGACACTTTGATCTCGGGGGTTTTCCTTAAAAAGATAGCATCTCAAATTTGAAAAGACTGATATAAATTAATACGCCTTAGTTTTAACGGATTTTTTTCTGGCAGTTGCCTGAAAATTGAGCCGAATTAGCCGACATTTAGCCATTACCCCTGCATATACCGGTGACAATATTTGAATGTAATACACCATCATATTTTTTTTAAATATAAACTAACCCTAATAGCCCGTATAAGTATCTTGATAGGATGCAGCATATTCTAGGAACTGGTAGGTCAGGTTATAGAAAAATGATCCCTTTAATTTTACAGGGGAAAACTTGGCCTCTAATATAATCAACCAAAAAAAAATGACCTGATAATTTTGTTAAGCAAGTGTTCGAGTTCCTTACATAATACCTTTAATACCCCTCCTCAGTATTATTTCAAATGAAATAAGGATTATATTTTTAGATAATGTTAATAAGAATTTTAAGTTCATATATTTATATTGGATCTTGTGTAAGAATCTGTTATAGTTTGGCATATTTTGATAGACTTTCTCCTTGAACTGAACTGAGTCTGAGCATTGATGCCAATTTATTTATATAGGGCAAAGGTTATCTTCATGGGAACACTCAATAGTTTTGCAGATTGGGGGAAGGGAGGGGTAATTTTTTTTTCTAATCATATTATTATGGTATTTAGTATTTTTAATATTATTTTCGGTTATTGTCCATCCAAAAACATAAATTTAATTATATACTTAAAAAAGATAAATTGACCTTAATGTGTCATTTGCGATCATCCCATCTTTTTGTGGAAATTATAATGGAATGGATTTCTGAACAAAATTTTTCTTTGTCCGCGATTCGGTTATCGGTTACTATATATCGTCGTAACTTAACAAGATAATTTTTGATCATTTTCACGATAAACTTTATTCGGGAAGGGTTATAACCATTAAAAGTGCTTGCTTGATTACTGGAGATTTTATATATCTTGTAATAACTTGATTATTACTTTCGAATTAAATTTAGTGTTATTCGTTTTTTTTGCCTCTCTTTTTTACATTTGGTACCAAAAGTTGATCTTTTGTAAATTTATATATCCATGGAACAATTTCGCAGCCATTTAAAAAAAAAATTAATCGATCAAATTCTTAGCGTCTAGAATTGCTACAATTTAAATAACAAATAATTTGGGGTTTGTTAATCGCAACGATAGATTGAATTAGATTGTCTAAATAAGGGATAAATATTATCTTCAACAGAAGAAGATGGTTGCTTGGATCTATGTTGCTGCTTTAACACTAGACTAAAGAAGTTAAACCACGACCCTTCTCACTTCAGTCCGATTTTTTTAAAAACTGGACGGCTGCCTTAGGATCGATTTTAGAAAGCAAATAAAACTTAGTTTTATTTTATATGTCAAATTCAGTTTAAAACGGTTTGCATATATTGTATTTAATACAACTATAAAATTCAATCGATTTTGTTGTGTTCTGCCTTTTGATATCGCTCAGGTCCTAAAGTCCTCACAACAATTTACTCGAAATAAATAAGGTCAAAGTGAGAAAACGATCATCACATATCAGAGATGGATGGGCATAATTACTCAAAAAAAATTGTAATCAATTTCTAATTACAATTACTTATTAGCCAGAAAAATATTGTTCTAAGTCTCGAGATTTCGATAATATATGTCTGGACCTTTGTTCCTTCTATGAACATAATCTTCAGGCTAGCGTAATATTTTTCTGGGTAAAAATATTGTTAGCCGTTTTTAAAAATCGGCTCGAAACGAACCATTTAACTAAACATCATATTTAATGCATTTGCTATAAAAATTCCTAGTTACAAAATGGAAAATATCATTTATGATTAGCAGAGAACCTGCGGAGGTACGACTTTTACATATAGAAAATTGTTCTTTAAATACCTTTCAAGATATTATTAATTATTTTGAATTATTATGGAACTAAAAAAAGACTGATTTTGCTTTGCAATCGAATTATTAAATAATCGGGAAAACCTCCTATTACTGATAATTATAGCTAGTGATATAAAAATTGCCGCTCCATTTAAGCCGTTTTTTTTTAAACACGCCTAACTTAGTATTTTATCCAGAAAAAACATTACGCAAGCCTGAAGATTTTGATCAAAAATGGCACAAAGTTTTGGAAATCTATTAGTGAAATCTTGAGGTTTAGGCAATATATTTCTGGCTAAAATATTGAGTTGGCCATTTTATAAAAGCACAAATGAAGCCATTTTGCATCACTAATTAGAGCCTTTAAAAGAATTGCGCGAAGATGCAGGGAAGGGTATCACACTTCTATCAAAATTTCTTTAGAACAATATTAGCTCCACATTACAACAATCCCCCCACCGCCCTACCTGTAATATATCTAAAGCATCTCTATGGGAGATTAAATTTTTCAGTAATGATGCAAAGATTCTATTTCCTACATCTTTGAAATAAATATATTTTTGAGAATAATTTTTCAAAAAATAGGATAAATTTAGACTTATGCATAATAACGTCTATTAAGGAATAGTACATGAATTTTCACCCTGTAGCACAAGGAAAAAATAATAATAGATCACAAGACCTTTTTTTTATAATTTTAGCTCGATTTGACCTTTTGTTAAAATATAAAAACATTATTTTTTCTTTTTAATTAGTGTCATTATTTTTTTAAAAAAATTATTGTTTATAGTGGTATATTATATTGGAATTTATGGGAAAGTAGGTGCGGAGAGAGTAAGGTATAATTTTTTATTGAACCTTCCAACCAAGATGGAGGGTTAATATATATATATATGTATTTATATAATTCGCGATGGGTATATAGGTCTCTGTGATGATCTAATCTACAGAGGGTTTGCTTATAATGTGGTCTGGTTAGGTAGGTTGGGTATCCCAAGGGTTTGTTCTCCTGAGGAGTTTCCCACGTTTATCCCATTAGCATTTGTCTGTTTATCAGTGAACAAATACTGGTTTCGGCAAGGCTCACTGGAAAAATTTTTGCGTCGGTATGGTAATATTACACAATAGAAAAATTATAAATAAATTTCAAAAGATAATTTTATTCTATTGTGTATGCCTATATATAGGTAAAGTACAAATGAAATTTACTTAAAACTTGCAAATTTATAAAGGGGGGGGGGGAGGCTATGTCATTTTTTTTTTAGCTAGGTCTTAAAAAT